GCTCAGGTCATGATCTCAGGGTGGTGAGATTGAGCCCTGCATCCAGCTCCCTGCTTGTCCCAGCACGGAGTCTGCTTGTCCCTCTCCCTCTGCTCCTCCCCCAGCCCATGTGCGCTCTCTCGCGCTCTCTCTAAACACAAATAAATAAAATCTTAAAAAAAAAAAATCTCTTAAGCCCTCTAGCTATTATTCCTTTTTTTCTATTTCCCTTAGAGCAAAACCCCTCCTCTCGGAGTCTCCTCCCTCCCTCCACTTTCTCTCTTGAACGCACTTGCCCTGATAACTACATTTCCCAAGGCACGGAAGAGCTTCCAGCTGCCAAACCCGACAGTCAATCTTTGACCCCATCTTCCCTGGGCTACATTTGGCACAATGGCTCACTGCCTCCTCCTGGCAAACGCTTCCTTCCCCCGGCTCCCCGACACGACACTCTCCGGCTTCTGCTACCTCACTGGCTACGATCTTGATCTGCTTTGTTGATTCATCCTCCTCTCTGAGTTCTCTAGGGATGACTCCTTTCTTGGACCTTTTCTGCCTCTTCACTCCCTTCCTTGGTGCTCTATCCAGTAGCATGGCTTTTACTAGAAACACTTACAAAGCGATATCTCCAGCCTGGATTTCCCCTTAAATCCCACACTTGTAAATCCTCAACTTCCTACTGAACATCTTGCCTGGCATATGAAATAGGCATCGCATGGTGTCCCAAACCGCACCCATAGTGTTCCATTTCTCACACTTGCTTCCTTCAGCCTTCTTCACCTCAGCTGCTGGCAGCTCCATTCTTCCTTGGCCTCATCCTTGATTTTTACTCTATTTCATGTTGAATCCATCAGGAAAACCTGTTGGCACGACCTTCAAAATCTGACCACTTCTCTCCATCTCCTCTGCTCCATCCCAGTCTAAGCCACCGTCATCTCTCACTCAGAGGACAGCAAGGGCTTCCTAACTGGTCTCCGCTTCCACCCCTCCTTCTTACAGTCTACTCTCAGCCCAGCAGCCAGAGGGATCTTTAATCAATGAATTGGTGTGTGTAAGTCCCTTGCTTAAACCCTTCCAGGGGATTCTACTCTGAGTATAAGCCAACTCATTACAATGGACCTATGTGGTTGGACTCCTTGTCAGACCTCTGACTACATCTGCTACCCATTTCCTTGAACAGTGTGCTCTAGCCACTGGCCTCCTTCCTGTACTTCAATCATGCCTGAAGCGTTTCTACCTCAGGGCCTTTGCACATAGTGTTCCCTCGCCTGGATGTTCCTCCGATATCCTCATGGCTTTCTCCCTCACCTCCACAGCTTGACTTAAATGCCACTTTGTCAGGGGGGCCTTCTTTAACCACTTTATTTCAAGTTGTCACCCCCTGCCCAGTCACCTCTCCAACCCCTTTCCTTGCTTTTACTTTTCTCCTTAGCAATTATTACCACCTGACCAAGTCTATATTTTTACCTGTTTCTCTCATGACTTGTTTGTTGGTCTGTTTTATTCACTGCTGTATCCCTAGCACCTAAGAATGCCTGGCACAGTGTAGATCAGTATTTCTCAACTTTTTTTTTTCATTATGGCTCCTCACCCCAGGAGTCTTTTTAGACACTTCTAATCACCCTTTCCCAATGAAATTTTAATACCACAGGTATATTGTGTATTAATTTCTGTATTGTATTTATATTGTGCTTTATACACATACACGCTTTTTAAAGAATAAGGTTTTTTTCTTTTCTCCCCCTGCCAAGAACCAATTTTCATCCCCTTAGGGGGATTATGGCAGCCATTGAGGATGCATGATGTAGCTGTGGGATACATATATGTTGGATGGATACATTTTGCTTCGAGTAGGATGCAGGGATGGAGCCTGATGTGGTCAGCAGGTCTAGGGTTTCTTGGTAGAAGTCAGTGGTTTATACTAAGGGAATTAGGACCACAAAGGCAAAAAGAGAAGGAAGAGGAGCAGACAGTCCATTTGGTGACCCCAGGGCCAGGGGAGAAAAAGAGGGGGCTTGGCAGCTTTAAGTGTGATGGGAATTTTTTGGTTAAGAACCTGAACTTGTCCACAGAGTCGAGCAGTCACTGTTGACCTTGATGTAAGCTGCTGATGGTAATAGAAACTGGATTGAGAGAGTTTTTGGAGAGAATCTGGGGCAATGGAGATAAAATAGAGTAGTCACCAGAGGGATAATAGGGAACTTTTTTTTTTTTTTTAAGAAGCTGAAAGACCTGGTTGGTAACCAGAATAGAATTTCAAATCTCTTTATTAAAAGAAAAATTTTAATCCAACATATTTGGGGGATTGTCAACCTGTTACATGGAAACTGATGGCTGTTTAATAACTGGGTTTAAAGTTTGGGATTTGTGAAAGAATTCATCTCAACCCTGACCATGACAAAGCTCTTTTTTGTTAGCAGGGCAGGAGGATTAGGAGAAGATGGACTTACTCCTCACTGTGTTTCTGTTCAAATGTTCAACTGTTCATAAAGGAATTTTTAAAAATAAATGAACAACGTTATAACAATGAAATGGAAATTAAGATAAAAATTTCACCCACAATCCTACCAATATAAAAGCAAGATTTTCCTTTATTTTTATTTGTTTCAAATCTGTGTCCATCTTAATGTTTGTTTCCGATATTATAATAATAATGCGGTTTTGAGGTCATATTCTGTACTTCTCATTCAGAATATAAGCATTTTCCATGTTGCCTTCCTAATTCATGTAGGTAACAGTATGGATTTTCCATCAAACTGATGCACTGCTGTCTGTCAGGTTGTCTTTCATTGCTTCAGTATTCTGGCTAATGCTGTAACGAACATCTTCAGGCACATTCCTCCTTTCTTATTCTGGGGGGTAGATGGTGGGCAGGACTAGCTTTTCTGGATGAACTTCCAGGAACAGAGTTACTTGGATCAGAGTGCTTTCTAAAAGAATGCTGTACATGTATTGATACAATGTAACCTAAAGAAGGTGAGTTATATTTTGTAACATACATATTAAACTACTGGTTCAAAGCTCAATTTCTCTTCCCTGCAGTCTGCAGGCAGAGATTTCTGACAAGATATCTAATCAGAAACAGAAAACTAGAAGCAACTAGTCATTGAGGTCACTCTCCTAATAGCAGAATAGAAGGCACCTGTCACAGGAGATGGGGCGGGGGGACAGGAAATCCACATTGCATAACTAGCCCCAGTGTACAGAGAAAGGCGGTCAGACCCTCATTACTGCAGTCTGCTATTACAAAACACAGCTGAGTAAGGCATAAGCGAATGGCTCAGAGTGCAAAAGCAGTCCCAGGGGAGCTCTCTGTAGGAAAGTTACCCTCCTGCAATCATTTGGTGGGGGGTTCTATCCTTTGGGCTATGTTCCTTGCCTCTGTGCCCCCATTCCAACTTGGGCCTCTGATCTCTGGTCTACTGCAACCCCCAGCCATTCTGCCAAGTCTTCTCCAGGCTTTCCCTCTTCTGTGCCTTGTCAGATATTCCAGTCCTCCCCCATTCTTAAGCACCTATCACACCCCTCCCTCCATTTCCCTCAGTTTGTGTGCCTAGCTTACAGAAGGCCTGAAAACACCCAGTGAATGGGACTCTTCCATTTCAAAGAGAAAACAGAGGCCATCAGGGGAATTCCTTCACCTTGCAGTTCCCCATTGCCATGCTTTCTTTGGTTCCTGCCCAACCTTCCCTCTAATCTTAGTGAAATTTCTTCCTTCCTGTCCCCTGTCTGGCCTTCTGCCTGTGCTGCCAGACTCATCCTTTTCTACCTCACAGGGTCCCTTCTCAACCCATTACTTACTTCCTTGGTCTGTCCTCAGCATTTTCCTCCCTACTGCTTTATCCTCTCAGGATAGAATCACACTCCAGACCCTGTCATCGTGAACATACCCATGGACGCACACACACGCGTACACACACGCGCGCGCACGCACACATGCGTACATGCACGCACGCACACACGCACACACACAGGCATGCGCGCATATATGCCGGGCCATGGCGCTCCTCTAGGAGCCTGACCACAGCCTTGCTCTGAGTCCTGGTCTTCCATTCCCTCCTCAGCTCCTACAAGGACCTCTCTTCCCCACCACTCCATCAGGACTGCCTTAGAAAATGTCCCCCGTAATCGGAGGGGGAGAAGAACCATGAGAGACGATGGACTCTGAGAAACAAACTGAGGGTTCTAGAGGGGAGGGGGGTGGGGGGATGGGTTAGCCTGGTGATGGGTATTAAAGAGGGCACGTTCTGCATGGAGCACTCGGTGTTATGCACAAACAATGAATCATGGAACACTGCATCAAAAACTAATGATGTAATGTATGGGGATTAACGTAACAATAAAAAATTTAAAAAAAGAAAAAATAAAGAAAGAAAAGAAAATGTCTCCCGTGACCTTGTGGTGTTAAAATTCAAAGGACTATTTTCACTTTCTCTTATTTGACACCCCTGTGGTGTTTGGGACTGCTGACCATTACTTCCTTTTGAAAGTTTCTCCTCCCTTGGTTTCCCCTCTGCTGGTTCCCCTACAGCTCACTGACCATCCCTTCTCAGCCTGCTTTGCCAGTCCCTCTTCCTCAAGCCGTAAGTATTGGTGTTTTTTTGAACCCACTTTGTTCACCTTCTCATTTGATTCCCCTCCCTGTGAAACCTCTCCTTCCACTGTAGCTCCCAGTACCGCCTCTAATCTGCTGACATCTCTTTTCTACCTTGACTCCAGGCCGCTCCCATGACCTCCAAATTTGCGCAACTGATGGATGTCACTTGTTGCTGGCCTATAAGTGGACCTCACTAAACGTGACCAAAAAGAATTTCGTCTTCCCTCTAAACTTTCTCCTTCTGTATTTATCTCAGTGAATTGCTATAGCTCTCTGTCCTGCAGAAACCTGGGGCTCACCTCATGTCACTATGTTCTGTTGGTTTTTTGCATCTCATTATTTTGGAGATATTTCCCCCCCTTTACAGCCCTCTGGCAATGCTCTGGTTTGGGCCACCACCTACTGGATGGAGGAGCCTCTTGACTGGCCTCTTCACCTCTCTTTTGGTCATCTTCCAATCCATCTTCTGCCTTGTCACCAACCCACTTAACACCCTCCAGCGGCTTCCCATTGCCTACAAGATCAAATTCACTGCCTTGCAACAACAAAGTCTCTCCCGTTCTGATCACTGCCTTCCTCCCTAGCCTTACCTTTCTGCTCCTTTCTCTAACATCCTCTGTACTCCGGCCACAGTAGGCTCTTCATAACTTTGTTCATGCTATTCCTTTGTTCAGAATGGCTTCTTCAATCTAGTGAAATCTAATTCTTAAGGACTCTCTTCCAATTCCCCTGTGCCTTGCCCTGACCAAGAACAATTCTCCTTGTTGGACCTTTCTGGATAAAAACAATAATTGTGATAGTAATTAGTGCTCTCCAGCCATCTACAATTCTGGTTCTTCCCCATTCTGGGCTCCTGATAGGATTGCACATCCTGGCCCCTTTGAAGTTAGACATGGCTGTGGAATAATAAAGTATAAATGGAAGTGGCACGTGTCTGTTCTGGGTCAGAGGATTTAGTTGCTAGAGTAAGAGACTCCACAACTCTTGCCCCCTGTTCTAATAACTGGTGACATTCCAGATGGTGGCTGCGTCCTGGAATGGACCTTCAGCTGATTTCTGATGAACATGTACTGTGAGCAAGAGATCAATCTTTGCTGATTCACCGGAGCGGTATGAACGTACTTGTTACTAAAACATAACGTAGTCCGTCTTGACTGATGTGCCTGTGCGCTTTTACAAATTGTCAATCGGTTAAAAACACTTTGGCCAGACTCTTCATTGTGAATAAGCATCCTCTCTCCTTTCCCTTCATAGCTCCCGAGTCTAGAATGCTTAGGCACATAATAGGCCCCAGTGATTCCCCCCCCCCAACTCCGGGGGGGGCACATATAGTCTAACTTACAAAGAATTTGTGTCTTACATGTAAAGTCATGCTGTTTTCAATAGATCATTGGAGAGTAATAAGAATAAGATAAAGAACCATTTGTTTTTACAAACTAAGTATGTTCCTTTATTACTTGCCATTAATCCATGTTTTATTTGAGATCTCTAAATGTATAGCTTTCATTTCAGTTGCCTTACAATTTATTTCTAACTGCTGGGTTCCTCTGCTATATTTTATCCTGAAACTTTGTTCTCCTTTTTAGCCATTACTGATTCCAGTCTAACAATCCTATCTTTTATCCTACAACTCTTCAACAGGAATTTAGTAAATCCAATCTAAACCTGTACTGAGGCATTAACCAAGAGTATTAGGTAGTTAGAATATCATGCAACACCAAAGCAAGAAGGATGGAGGAGCTGGTGGGAAGAGAGACAAATAGCCAGGCATTAACTGAAAGGCAGCATGGCAGGTTGAAAAAAAGCATAGCTTTTGGAGTTAGGAAAGTTGGGGATTAATCTGATTTTGCCATTTACTGCTCATGTGGGCCTCTGTATACCTCAAGTCTCTTATGTGTAAATGTGAGTAGTGACAGAAATAAGTCACAGAATTTTCAAGGGAGACAAGTGGAATCATTTATGTGGATGCTCTATGTACATTGTAAGTAACTGTTTAAATATTTTTCTAACATGATAAGAATGGCAGGGCAGTTGTATTTTCACCAAGAGGAGTGGGAGATAGAAGAACCCAATGCTGTGAGAGTGTCTGCATTTTCAAATCTCATGATCGGTCACTGGGGGTGGGAGGGAGCTCTTTGGCTCACAGGTGGTCAGAGCACTTACCTGTACATTGAGACCAAAGACTCCCTTCCCCCCATAGGAGTCGCTAGATACATGGAATTCGGGCAAACTGTCTATCTGGTAGCTCAAACTTTTACCTTTTTTTTCTTTCCCTGACCAGGTGGGTGACTATTCCTGTAAGTAATCCAGGAACCTTAGATTTATAGCTAATTACTTCTTTGGTACCTGTCACGCACTTTCCTCAGCATCTGATATATTGCTCTCTTTCTCATTTCTATTTCCCTTGTGCAATTTCTTGGACATTCTCTGTATAATGACTTAAATGACTTTTAGGCTGATGGCACACCTCTAAAGAGAACCCCTGATAGTTTCTTTGGAAGGATCAGAGCCCTTCCACAGGAGACAGGCAGGTGAAGGTCAAAATGTTAGTTTTATTTCTGATAAAGTGCTGAAGAATGTGGCTTAGATCTTCCACCAAGTTCTGTTGAATTAGGCAGCCTCACCCACCCAGTGACAGGCGGGGCTGGACAGCTGAAAGCCTCCCAGTCCGGGGCAGTCCTGGCTCCCTTATCCTGACCAGGTGGAAAGCAGGCTCCTATACCTGGTGGGCAGACTTGGAAAGAGGGGAAGGCTCTAGGGCTGAGAGCCAAGTATGCTGTTTCTTACTCAAATTCCTCAATCCGATCTCTCATTCCCTCTGAGGCCAGGAGGGTGTAGGGAAAGTGTGAGAGCCTTCATGGAAATATGCAGCTCAAGGAGTAGAAGCTAAGGATCCCCAAATCTCCCACCTGAGTGGAAACAGTGCTAAATACCACTGTTCCTCTCTGCCTTCCTTCTGGTCTTGCCCTTCCCTAATGTGGAGGGCTCTGGACTTCTCACCTGCTCCCCCCTGTCTTGGCCACCATCCACCTCAGTAGTTCTTAGCCTTGGATATACATTAGAATCTCCCTGGGAGCTTCTAAACCATTCCAATCCTCAGGCCTCACCTCCAAAGAGTCTGGTTCGATCGGCCTGGGATGCAGCCTTGGCAGAATCAGTGATTCTAAAGTGCAGCCAGGGTTATGGACTGCTGACCTGATGGTGTAGGTTTCATCAACCCTTTCGTTTCCTCTGGCCAGATGTAAAATGCAGGTAACAGCATCTGTGAAGCCCTCAGAATGAAGACAGCCTCTGATAATGATGTCACAATGGTGCAGCAACCTCTTACTCGATTAAAGCCATATGGTGTCTGCAAAGGTTCTGTTTGCCTTCTCAACTTGTCCTTCTCCACATAAAAGGTGTGTAAAAAGAGAAGTTACATTTGGCCCCTTGGTGCTCAGTGATTCATTTTCTTGAAAGGGAACAAGAGGGAACATTTCTTTCTTCTTACAGAAATGCTCTTGATCTGACTTTGCCCTCAGCCCATCTGCAGCCAGTCATTATGAAAATCCAGGGAAAGCCATTCGCTGACATAAGCTCAGTGAGTTCACCTCCTTTAATATCCGCCATCAACACCCAGGTATTGAGCCGGGCTTCCTTCAGATGGCTGCATGGTCAGGGAGAAGGAAATCCATGACCCCAGCACTTCAGAGGAAGGGACCTGATGGTAAGATAGAACCATTTAAAATACCATTTTGCAATACCTTGCCCGAATTTCTCTCAGCTGAAGTACAGCTACCTGACTCAACCCAATTCAGAGGCAGCCCCACCAGTGAGTCTTAATCACCCATGGTGGCTGAGGGACGACGCTGCTTTGGCGCATATGTGTCGCTGATAACAGAACCCATTTAACTGCTCCAAATCCATAGGGTATGATTAGGTTGGGGTGATAACTCCTGAGAATGGCTTTGCTACAGTTATAACATGCTGAGAGGGAGCGAAATACGAATCCTGCATAAATTAGTCTGCCAGGTACAGTTTGCTATTAGCTCTATCATACCTGGAATAAAAGTGTATCATCTCACAACCAGTCTGGGTAGTTCCGTGCATGACTGGATTGAAAGGTGAATTTCTCATGGTTTAATTTAAATACTTTTTTTTAAGTCTTTAACTTTATGAAACCCCGATCTACTTCAGAGATAAAAATGAGCTTTTATTTTTCGTTTTTTTAAATGGGGGGCTCCTGGGCGGCTCAGTCATTAAGGGTCTGCCTTCGGCTCAGGTCATGATCCCAGGGTCCTGGGATGGAGCCCCGCATCGGGCCCCCTGCTCCTCGGGAAGCCTGCTTCTCCCTCTCCCCCTGCTTGTGTTCCTGCTCTCGCTATTTCTCTCTCTGTCCAGTAAATAATAAATAAAATCTTAAAAATAAATAAATAAACAAACAAAATGAGATTTTAACTTACGCTCTAATTCTAACCCATTGGCCCCTCATAAAACGCCAGATTTTAAAGTGAAGTGAATGCTGTGTACCTGCTTTTCTTTTTGTCCCTGCCTGTTTTGAAACCGTTCGTGACACCACAGGAAAGAACCTGCCATTTGGGTCATTGCTGTGGCAAAATAATGGTTGCAGTCCAAGTCACTAACTTTGAAGATCATACCATGAAGATTTTCATTGGCAGTGAGCTTACATCAGCTAGCCACATACGCAATCAGTTATCTCTTCTTTCGGCATAAATTGTCAACATCAAGGTGATATGATGACATAACCCAAAGATTAGCCATAAGCATGTGACCTGCTCAACCTAGATTCTTTTTTTTTTTCAGCCTAGATTATTAAACAGGCTTTGACTTGACGATTTTACCTTCCAAAGGTCAAAGATTAGGGCTTAGACATCAGGGCCACCGAAATATGAGATAAAGAGGCAGTGAATGAATTCAAGTGCTACGGCCAAGTATCATCACACGGGTATATGAGATCCAGCTGTTGTGAAGTACCGACATCATTGTTTAACTGGCGGGTGAAACTCAAGTGTACTCTTATATTTTCTTCATTCCTTTGTGTCCTTTTTGCTTGTGGTAAGGAGACAGATGTGGCCAATATCCTATGCGTCTGAATTTCAGTCTCAGGCTGGCTACCTACTCAATCTGTGACTTCGAGAAATTTGTGACCTCTCAGAGTTTACATTTTCCATTTTAGTTCAAGAGGAACAGCATCATAACACCTCCCATATAAGGGCTGGAGATGATCTATGCACCGTGCCTGGCACCTCAGAGGCACCCAGGAAACGGGCAGCTGAAATAAGTATTTTTTCTTCGGAGGTGTCTGAACATCCTTGGGGAAGATAAGTTACCCTCGGAGATTAGAAGAGAAAGCACAGCAATGAATTGTAAGAATGATTTGGAATCCTCCTCCAACAGGTGAAGTTCATACACATCAGGGTTACATTCCAGAAGCCCCCCTTCATGTCTCTGGTGAGCCCAGGTCAGTGACTTTACTGACCACTAGGGTGAAGAGTGATTTGAAGGAAAGGAAGGTGTGTACTTGAGTGTGTATGTGTGTGCGTGAACATGCGTGTGTGCACACATGTATGCAAAACTGTAATCGTCAAGTGAGGTTGATTCTGTGAGGGATTCTTCCTGGTAAGGGTACTGGAAGCAGTTGTTAGGGAGGAAGGAGATCTGTCTTTTCCTGGATGATATTTCTCATGAATTTGAGAATGATGTCTGCTCAGTTCCTCCTTTGGGTGAAGAAAAGCCAGAGAGTGTTAAACATACTGCTCATTCCTAATGTGTTG